TTATTCGAAGCACATTTATTGCTTCTCCCCTGAGGGGTAGAGACTGAAGATTTGAAGATGAATGAGACATGGTCCTGGCCCTCCAGGAGACTAGAGGGGGAGGCCGAGGTGCAGGCAGTGACACCGGAGGTGCTGTGTGCACCTCACCCAGCCAAGGAAAGCCTTCTGGAGGAGGCGGGACTTAGGTGGGCAGAAGGACTGTCCAGGCACCCCAGGCTGCAAGGACACCTTCAGAGAATAACAGGCCACTGAAGGCCACGCATTGTAGAGTGGAGGGCGGGAGAGCAACTGCAGGGGCCAACAGGGAGGAGGCGTGGAGAGCCTCACTGCAGTGCAGGGTGTGAAGGAGGGTGCTTCAGGTTTCACTGTGCTTGTATTCTGAGCCCAAATGTAGAGCCACAGCGATCAGGAGACTAAAAGCTCAGAAAGAGTGTAATGGAGAAAACATCCAAAATCAACGTGCATTTTTCTAAGTAATCAGTGCCTGGCTTGCAGGCAGGGCCGGCTTTATGGTTTTGTGTGACCTACTGTGTTCAGGAACTGCTCTGTTCTCACCACCAAGGCTTAGCCAACAGCTGAAAGGACCTGAGAGGGCGATGAGGAAACTGAGGGTCCGGGAGTGTCACCCCAGCATCTCAGTGGGCAGAGGACACTGGCTGGGGAGTCAGGCCCGCTGAGTGTCACACCCAGCTGTACCACAGACTGGCTGCCACCTTGAGAAGATAGTGTAAGCATGCTAACTCAGCCAGTGTCCCCAGCCATAAGGTACAGATGACAAATGGATGACCCCAGAGCTTGGTCATGAGGAAGCAGCAAGACAAGACGTGTGGCTTAGCTTGGTGCCTAGCATACGGAAAGTGCTAAAGAAATGTTAGCTGTGACTCTTACAGTGGCAGCTCTACTTGGCCAGACCTGTAACTGATCAGGTATCAAACAGATCAGATACAGCAGAGAATCAGAAGAAAAAAATATATACATATCTTAACTTAAAGTACCAGTGGGTTAGCTGATCGATCACAGCTTTTTTTCATAAACTTCATTCATAATGTGTTATCCATAATTTCCAAGTTTGTTTTTAAAGCACAGTGCAAACTTACAGGTCCTAACAAACGAAGATGTATGCAGAATCCTTCTAGATTTGTTTTTTTTTAAGACGAAGTCTCAATATGCCCCCCAGGCTGGATTCAGAGGCTTGATCATAGTGCACTACAGCCCCAAACTCCTTCAGGCGATCCTCCCACCTCCCAAGTAGTTGGGACTACAGGAACGCACCACCACGTCCAGCTAGATTTTTTTTTTTTTTTTTGAGACAAGGTCTCACTGTGTTGCCTGGACTAGAGTGCAGTGGTGTCATCATAGCTCACTGCAGCCTCAAACTCCTGGGCTCAAGCAATCCTCCTGCCTCAGCCTCCTAAATAGCTAGGACTATAGGCTCGTGCCACCACGCCTGGCTAATTTTTTTATTTTTTGTAGAGACAGGGTCCCCCTATTGCCTAGGCTGTGGCTAGATTTTTATAACCTTTTATTTATTTATTTTTTTTGAGACAGAGTCTCACTCTTTTGCCTGGGCTAGAGTGCCGTGGCGTCAGCCTAGCTCACAGCAACCTCAAATTCCTGGGCTCAAGCGATTCTACTGCCTCAGCCTCCCAAGTAGCTGGGACTACAGGCATGTGCCACCATGCCCGGCTAATTTTTTCTATATATTTTTAGTTGTCCGATTAATTTCTTTCTATTTTTAGTAGAGACGGGGTCTCGCTCTTGCTCAGGCTGGTCTCGAACTCCTGAGCTCAAACAATCCGCCCGCCTTGGCCTCCCAGAGTGCTAGGATTACAGGCGTGAGCCACCGCGCCTGGCCTTTATAACCTTTTATTACCCCCATCTATAATTACCTCCTCCACACCTGATTGAATGGTTACATTTTATTATACTCGCCTTTTTTCATTAACTTTTAGCATTGTAGACAGCTGTCACTTTTTTGCCCCGATTTCACTGGCTAACACAATATATAATTGAATTACATAATTACAGTCACAAGTACAGTGTGGGACAAACATCACTTTGAGTGTGTGTGTTAAAAGTTCTTTTTTTAAGTATAACTTTTTTTTTTGAGACAGACTCTCCCTCTGTCACCTGAGCTAGAGCATCATGGCGTCAGCCTAACTCACAGCAACCTCAAACTCCTGGACTCAAGCAATCCTCCTGCCTCAGCCTCCTGAGTAACTGGGACTACAGGCATGGGCCACCACGCCTAATTTTTCTATTTTTAGTGGAGACAGGATCTCATGCTTGCTCAGGCTGGTCTTGAAGTCCTGACCTCAAGCGACCCTCCTGCCTTGACCTCCCAGAGTGCTAGGATTACAGGTGTGAGCCACCGAGCCCAGCCTAAGTATAACTCTTGACAGGCAGTTCCCTCACCTGGTGGGAGCAGGGAGATGCAGGTACACGAGCCACAGGTGGTCTGCATGCTGTGGACATCAGCCAGCAGGCTGGGAAACAGATATGGCAGGTTAGTGACACAGAGGTCACTTAAGAAAGCATCTATGGGCCGGGTGCGGTGGCTCACACCTGTAATCTTAGCACTGTGGGAGGCCGAGGCGGGAGGATTGCTTGAGTGTGTGAATGAAAAAGCCTAGGAAACTCGCCAAGAGTCACCCACAGGAGCCAAGCACATGGGTCCCCTCCCACCACACAGCTCATTCAGACTGGCTGCTCTGGGGAGTCTGGTGCTGATCTCAGTTTCCTGTGATTTCAGAAGTCAAGGTTCCAGCCCTTGTACTGCCACCTCCGGTGCCAGTTGCCAGCTGACGGTGCCGGAAGGGAAGTCAGTCCCCTACTTCTCCTCCCTGGACTCCAGCATCGACACCCTGAAGAAGAGAGCTCAGGAACTGATCGAAAACATCAACGAGAGCAGGCAAAAGGACCATGCATTCATGACCAACTTCAGGGACAGCCTCAAGATCAAGGTGACAGATTCCCCCCAGCAAGCATGGGTGGCATTCTTTACGTAAAAGGGGAGGGAGTGAACTGCCAATGAGTATCTGTTATGTTCCAGGCATAGTGCTAGACACTTCACACACAGTACATGTGCTGCTTGACTCACAATGGGGTTAAATCCTGATAAACCCATTGTGTAAGCCAAAACTATCTATTTCTTTTTTCCTGAGACAAGGTCTCGCTCACGCCTGTAATCCTAGCACTCTGGGAGGCTGAGGCAGGAGGGTTGCTTGAGGCCAAGAGTTTGAGACCAGCCGGAGCAAGAGCGAGACCCCGTCTCTACAAAAAATAGAAAAATTAGCAGGGCATGGTGGCAGGCACCTGTAGTCCCGCTACTCGGGAGGCTGAGGCAAGAAGATTGCTAGAGCCAAGGAATTTGAGGCTGCAGTGAGCTATTCTGATGCCATTGCACTTCAGCCTGGGCCACACAGCAAGACCCTGTCTCAAAAAAGCAATAAAAAACCCCATTCCTTTGATACCACCACCCAGAGGCCACTTTGTTGCATGTTTCTTCTAGTCCCCATTCTGCATAATTTCTTCCTAACCTGGTTGAGGGTACAGTCATCCATCACTTAACAACCGGATAGTTCTGAGAAATGTGTCCTTAGGTGATTTTGTCATCGTGTGAACATGCAGAGTATGGTATAGACTGTTGCTCCTAGGCTACAAATCTGCATAGCATATTACTGTACTAAATACAATTGTAGGCCATTGTAACACAACAGTAAGTATTTGTGTATCTAAACATATCTGAACATAGCAGAGGAACAGTAAAAATATAGTATTATAATCTTATGGGACCACTGTTGTATATATGGTCTGTCACTGACCCAAATTTGTTATGTAGCACATGACTGTATACAGTTTTGCCTCTTGCTTTAAAAAAACAAATAAAATTTAACATACATGCCATTTCATCCCCAGTCACTGCACTGGAGTTATTTTTACCGTTTTTATAAGATAAACTGCAGACATCTAAGAGATCCCCTTAGAACAAATGTCTGCTGATGCCTCTTCTTTGGTTTTCCATCTTATTCTCAAAAAGGTTTCGGATCTGGCAGAGAAGTTAGAGGAGAGGATGTACCAAATGTATAATCACCACAACAAGATCATCCAGGAAAGGCTCCAACAATTCACCCAGAAGATGGCAAAAATCAGCCATTTGGAGTCAGAGCTCAAACAAGTCTGCCATACCGTGGAGACCGTGTACAAAGACCTGTACGTCCAGCCTGAGGTACGACAGACTCACACGGGGGTGATGCTGGAGGGTGGGGGCTGTGATGGCCCAGCCCAGAGTAAGTGTGAACAGAACCCCGGCACCCAGCCCTCAGCCACGGGGCCACAATCACTGCAAAGCCCTCGGCACTCTTGCCCGGTGGTCCCCTGTAACTGGGTGTGTCCGAGCCAAGAAGCAGGGCTGTTGTCATTCCCCGATGTTGTGTGGTCAGAAGACATAGTGTCCTGCACTCCTGCCAGTCAGTTTCCCTTCTGCCAACAGCCCTGGTACGTGCCCCCCAGGCCTGGGCAGTACCTAATCCAGGCTTATTTATTAGGGCAGAGCTTAAGACTCAGACATGGGCCAGACCACTATAGGGGGAGCTTCCCACCACGTTCCAGACATGATCATTCCTCCTGTGGCTGTGACACTACTTCTCAGGTGGTTACCAGTAAATGTGGCCCAACACTGTGATGTCAGATGTGCAGATTCTTTATTTTCCTCTCCTCTGTCCTGCCCCAATGTCCAGCGTAAGGCGCTGCCCCCAGATGGGAGGGTCAGAGGGCACACAGTGAACCCTGGGTATGGGTGTGCCCTCTGCTCGGTGGGACACCAGGGTGGTCTCAAGGAAGATGCTTCAGGGTCACTCTCCTTCCCTCTAGAGAAGCTGCTGTTCCAAGCTAAACGGCGTCTGTTCTCATCCATGGTTAAAAGTGGGATTGAGAAACTCTCCAGAGAATTCCATCATCTTTTTTTTTTTTTCTTTAAAAATGTGTTTATTTTTTAAAAAATCAGTTGTGTACAAAAGTGTTCCGTAGTTTTTAATTCTCAAGACAAATACCCAACCCTCCTCCACCCACCCTGCTTCAATGGTATTTCTGGTAACCCACCCATATTCCCCTTATAGGAAGTTAACGGCTCAGAATAGACCCTCCTACAGAATTTATCATTACTAACAGATTGTTTAGAATAGAACCATCTTCTTTTTAAGGAGCACATCGAAACAACTTCAGAAGGCAATCGATATTTAAAAATCTGTTGTCTCTCACTTCCCGCCATAAAAGTTGGCTCCATCCGCCACCTCCCTTATAAGCTCAGAGCACAGCATCCCCAGGGTCCAGCCAGGCGTCCCTGTGAGAAGGGGCCTCAGAGCATCGGGCCCCTGGTGAAGTAGGTTCACTTGCCAGCCTTGAACGCCTGAATTCCCGTGATAGCTCTGCCGAGGATCAGAGCATGAATGTCATGTGTACCTGGACAAGATTCAGAGAGTCAGTGTGGAGTCTTAACAGCTCACAAATCCCCTGTAACGTCAGTCTTCATGTCCCCCCCCAGGCCACTACTTCAGAAGAACAGACCCACAGAGATAGTGAATGCTGACAGCTGCTCGGAGACTCACGCCTCAGTGACAGCCACCAAGAGAAGGCTCAGAGGCCACCGTTTGGGCCATGCTGAAAAAATTGTTTTTCATAGTTCTGTAATACATCTTGGCAAAAACAAAACAAAAAAACCCCCAAACTTCTTGTGCTGGACCCCAAAATGCAGTAAGTCTGGCCCCTGTGTGGGCCCAGCCTGAATGCTCCCCACACTTGGCAAATCCCCCCACCCCCACCCCACACAGTTGATTAAACGTTTGATTTTCAACCCAGCCAAGCTTCCTTCCCAGAGGCCGCGAGCCCATTAGCTAGGTGGAAACGTGGCAAGTCCTTTCTTACCACAGGAGGGACAGGAAAGCAAACACATCACAGAAACGAACACTTGTCGTGGCTGATCTCCCCCCACCTGAAGCTGCATATCCCAGAGCCTCCCACACCCTCGTGCCTGGCCCTTGCTTGTCCCAGTTTCCAGGGACAGAAGGCAGAGATTAAGGCCTCCCTTTTAGAGAGTAAATAGTCGTTTACTTTCTAAAGCACAAATCTGACCTGTCCCCCCGCTGCTTGTCCTAAGGGTCATTCTCTTGCCTGTAGGACCCCTCAGTTCCCCAGCCCTCCCTCTTGCTGTTTCTGGAATGTCCTGTCCAGCTGCCCGATGGAAACAAGATTTGGGGATATGGGACACCCCCTTGGTCAGTTCCTTCGTCACTGGAAGAGCGTAGGGAAGGCACTTCTGCGAATGCTGTCTTCTCTGTCTGGAAGCTTCTCTGCCCAAGGAGCTCCTATCTCCCTCTTTCTGCACAGCTCATGCTGGTTGCCTCTTTTTTTCTTAATTATATTTTTCCACATCTGTCTTCTCACCAAGCAAGGGGCTCTCTTGGCCGCCATGTGAGTCACCACTAGTTTTAGGGTGCACACACCACAGTCTGCAGATAACTTTTTTCTTTTTCTCTTTTTTTAAATTTTTCAAAATTTTCTTAGAGATAGGGTCTTACTCTGTCACCCAGGCTGGAGTGCAATGACATGATCATAGCTCACTGTAACCTTGAACTCCTGGGCTCAAGTGATACTCCTGCCTCAGCCTCTCAAATAGCTGGGACTATAGGCATACACCACTACACCTGGCTAATTTTAAAATTTTTTGTAGAGATGGGGTCTTGCTATGTTGCCCAGGCTGGTCCCGAACACATAGCCTCAAGTGATCTTCCCGCCTCGAAGGCCTTCCCTTTACTCTTAACAAAATGGAGTGGCGATTCCTGTGTGTAGCTTCACTCTCACCTGCTTCCATCTAGCAGCTTGCTGGGGAGTGTGCCTCACTCCAGGGATGCCCTTGGAGGGTGCACCTCAGTCTTACTTAGGACTGTCCCTCCTCCCGAGCTCCTGGGACAAAGGGCTGGGAGGTCCTCTCATGGCCTGATCAGGGGCTCTGTGTGGTACATGAAGCACTTCACTTCCACAGTCGCATGTGAGCAACTCCAGATGAGGGACAGAGGGGTATGACTTGCCCCAAGTCACACCGTCACTTGGTGGAGTAGGACTCAGACCTATCCCGCCCCCCAGACACTGAGGCTACTGTGACCGCCACCACCACAGGTCCAGCTCCTACCTTCATAGGTGTTCACGGCCTCCAGGTTCATGGTGTGCCGGATCACGTGATACTCATCAGAAATCCCATTCCCGCCCAGCATGTCCCGGGCCTGGCGGGCTATATCCAGGGCTTTCCCACAGTTATTCCTCTTCAGCAGGGAGACCATTTCCGGGGCGGCCCTGGGAGTGGCACATGCGTGTAACAAGCATTGGGCATCTAGGCGTCCCAATGCCGGGGGCTAACCTAATAGGGGGTGGGGATTCCCCCAATGCAGCCACCAAGCTCCCAGTGACAGACCAGTGGGGCTGTCCCTGGCCAGGCCCATCAAGGCCAAGAGGCAGGAGAGAAGGGATAGGTTCCCGGGGCCACCAGGTGGAAGGACCTTTCTCCCTGGAAAGAGTACAAGGGCTCTGGTCACAGCCACCCCCCCATGTGTGGCCCCTACTTGTCCTGATCCTTCAAGCGGCCGAGCTGCAGGCAGGCGTGGAGGCCCAGCGTGATCTCAGTGAGCATGTCGGCCAGCTTCTTCTGAATCAGCTGGTTCCTGGCCAGCGGGACACCAAACTGGATCCTAGACGGGCAAGGGCAGGTAAGGGCAGTCCCCATCCTAGGGCCCCTGCTCCAGGAAGCCACCCCAGAGCTCGCCCTGGCCATCACTGACTCAGCCCTTCCCTGCTCAGGGTACTTCACCGGCCATTTCAGAGAGCAGGGAACTCAGGCCTGGCGTAGGGTCTGGTGAGTCACCTGTGGGGTGGGGAATGGAACCCAAGCCAACCCCATGCCCCATGACATCTCACAGCAGTCCCCACACACCTGTCCAGGGCGTACTGCCGGGCCGTGTGCAAACAGAACTCGGCGGCTCCAAGCACACCCCATGTGATGCCATACCGGGCATTGTTCAGGCAGCCAAAGGGACCCTGTAGGGTTGAGAGGGGGCTTCAGCCCCACCCAGGAGACACTGAGAGGGCCTGTGCAGAACCGACTCTGAAGCAGGGGAAAGCACTCTCCCCAGACACCCCAGAAAGGGGGCCCAGCACCAAAGCTCGGTGTCTGCTCATTCTTGGTTTGTACACTGCTCTGCCCAGCCCTGCATCTGGGTTCCGTGCTCAGGATACAGGAAGGTGCACGTGCGTCAAAGGATTAAGCCGGTCGAGGCCCATGTGTGTCCCAGGAAAAGCCAGTATGAGCAAGATGGTCACCAAACAAGGACATTTTTTAGCACATCGGTGAGTTGGGCAGAGCCTCCCAGAATCACTGCGTGAGCTCCACAGGCAGAGGAAGCTTGTCAGTCTGGTCCCCAGCACAATGCCTGCCTGAGAAAGGTGACCCAGCAGGTGACCCAAAACCAGTTCCCAAGGTGGCCGCTGCTCACCCCCAGGCCAGACGCATTGGGCAGCATGTTCTCCTCGGGCACCTCCACGCCATCCATGATGATCATGCCCGTGGCCGAGGCCCGCAGGGAGAACTTGCCCTCGATCCTGGGGGCCGAGAGACCCCGCATCCCCTTCTCCAGCAGGAAGCCCCGGATGCAGCCATCTTCACACCGAGCCCACACTACAAACACGTCGGCTACAGGTGAGTTGGTGATCCTGGGGGTGGGACGGTCGGTGAAGGGTCTGGCCACTGCCCTCCTGCCCCCTTCCACCCACCCACCTGCTGCCCAGATCCCTCACCAGGTCTTGGTCCCATTGAGGGTGTAGCTCTTGTTGGATGGGTTGTGGTGGGCTCTGGTCTCCATGCTGCTGGGGTCACTCCCACAGTTGGGCTCTGTGAGCCCAAAGCAGCCCAGGAGCTCCCCCTTGGCTGCAGACACAAGATAGGGTCATGGGGCCACCTGACCTTATATCTATTCCCATAACCAAAAACTGTCACCTTTGCCAATGAGCCAGGCCTCGTAACCAAAGTGGGTCTGACCCTGCTTTCACAGTATTCCTGGGGGTGTGGGAGACAGGTGCCTCCAAGCCAGAATCTCAGTGCCATAATGTGGAGGGGGCCCCAGGGAGTCAGGAAGGAGCTGGCCTCACTCTGTCTGGAAGGGCAGGAGGAGTTAGGCAGAAGGGTATGGGAGAAGCAGTCCCAGCTGAGGAACAGAACACGCAAAGGCCTGACGGTACATTTGGGGAATTTCAAGTAGCTGAGTCTGGCTGGGGAGGACCCGTCAAGAGTGGCCAGAGATGAGGTTGAAAGGCCAGCAGAGGCCTGGTCATGTGGGGCCTCATGGACCTGGTTAAGAAGGTAAGACTTTGAACTTTGGGCTTGGATGGGGGGGCAAAGAAAGTGAACCAGGAGGGAGATGATAGTGGGACAGAGGAGTAGAGTTGAGAGACACCCAGGAGGGGACAGTCAGAGGTGGCATGAGCTCAGATGTCCAGGTGAGGCCCAGGACCTGGCAGAGGGTCCGAGTGACCACTGGTGCTATGTTTGAGATAGGGACAGAGGATGGGCTCAGGGAACAGTCCCACCCTTGGGGACTACCTTCCACCAGGCCCCACAGACAGCTGCTCACCCAGCCGGGGCAGGTACTTCTGCCGTTGCTCCTCACTGCCATAGGCGTGGATAGGATGCATGACAAGGGAAGACTGGACGCTCATTGTTGACCTGTAGCCACTGTCCACCCGCTCCAGCTCTCGGGCCAGGAGCCCGTAGGCCACAGATGAGACCCCAGCACAGCCATACCCTGGTGGTCGTAGAGGAGGGGAAGGTAGGACAACAGAGGACAAAGCCCTGCCGAAGCTGGGACCAGGGACCCCTGGGATCCAAGAGACACATAGGGGCACACAAGGAGGCAGGCATCGAGCCGAAGGTTATCCATCTCCTCCTCACAGCCACTATCAGAGAGAAGGATAACAACCCCACTTTACAGACTAGGAAACTGTGGCTCAGGGAAAGGGGCTTTTCAGGACACAGTGGGGTCCACAGAATGCAAAGAGAAACTTATCCCTACCTTTAATGGTGGGGCCCAGCACGCCCAGCTCCCCCATCTCCGAGATGATCTCCCGATGAAAAACTGCAAAGGGACAGATGCCAAGTTCAGGTCCAGCGCTAGCCTGCTGCGGGCTCCAGCCCCAGGGACAGAGAGGCCCAGAGGCTAGGACAGGCAGAGCTGGTGTGAATGGCAGAGGGTGGGGCTCCAGTGGGACGGGCGGCCCCAAGGCACCCACCCGCCCACCCCGGCACCTTCGTTGCGATTGGCCAGCAGGATGCGAGGCATGAGTCGCTCCTGGCAGTAGCTGCGGAAGGTGTCCCTGATGAGGGTCTCATCTGCTGTCAGCTGCTCCTCCAGCACCAGCGGGTCTTGCCAGTCAAACTGGGGATGCGAGGCTGGGGAGGGGAACAGAGGTGGCCTAAGCCCGGCCCGCCCGCCTACCCACCGCGCCCTCCTCTCCAACCTCAGCCCCACCCCACCTCCACCCTGATCTCGCTTCCTGCTGAAACCGGCTGCAAACAGGATCGGAAAGGTGACCCTTCTCTGACCCGCAGGGACAGGACACTCATACCTCAGCGCCTCTGACCCTGCGCACGACCCTGCCATCCCGCCCGGGCAGCTCTCGGATCTGGGACACAGTCCACCCGGGGCAGACAGACAGGGGCTGAAAGACGCACGGCGCCACCAGGGGTCCTTACACTTGGCCGGTCGGCTCTGTGTCCTCCCGACTTTCTCTACAAACACAGGACGGGAAAGTCACCCCAGGAAAGTCCCCGAACCCCTCAGTCCCTCCCTCTGCACCCATCCCCGGCCCCGCACTGACCAGTCTGCGCCGCCGTCGAGACCCACATGCGCAGGACTCGCCGACCAGGCCCGCGGCTCAGCAGCCGCACCGAGACTCCTCTCAGGGCCATGCGAGCAGCGGACGGGCGAGCGGAGCAACGACGGCGGCCTGGAGGAGCGGGGCCGTCAGCGCCGAGCGGTTCCCAGCCCCGGGCCCGGCTCCCCGCGCCCTCCTTACCTGGTACCTCCCAGCCCACAGAGTGCAACTGGCGAAGGCCTTTGACCTACGCGGGACCTGGGTGGAGCGGCGGCCGAATGAAGCTTCTCATTGGTTTCGCTTAAGACCCGGTTCCTCCGCAGCTCTGCCTTTTAAAGGGGCTATGGCAGACCTACCCGTGAAAGCAGGCGCGCCCAAGCCTAGGCATATTAGCCCCTTTAAGAAGCAGAAGCGGGAAGGGGCGGAAAACGAGTGCCCCAGCCCGATTGGCCAGCTGTATGTCCGCTCTTATTGGCCATAAGAGGGGGCTCGGCACACTCCTGATTGGTTATTTGCAGAAGGTGTATGCTGAGGGATCCAGGAGTTAAATAAGGAAACTGAGGCATGAGAAAAAAATGAGTCCTGGAACCCGAGAGGCCAGAATTCTAAGTCTTTTCTAATGGGGTGCTGGTGGGGAGAAAGATTGGCTCCGAGTGGGCGATTTTATAATAGCAAACCTGCCTGACAGTCTGTCCCAAGAAGCTCGTGTAGCTGTGTGTGTGTGTGTGTGTGTGTGTGTGTGTGTCTGTGTGTGTGTGTGAGAAAGAGATTCCGTGGGTCTATGTTGTGATTGTGCCTAAATATGCATCTGTGTGTGGGTGGGACTGACTGTGTGCCTGTGACTTTGTGGGGCTATGATGGTGCATCTTTGTGGTTGTATTTGTTAAAATTTACCTGATTGTGTGTTTGTGTGGGACTGTGTTTCTCTGGAATGTTGTGTGATACTGAAACTCTGTGTGTGTGTGTGTGTGTGTGTGTGTGTGTGTGTGTGTGTGATTATTTCTACATAGGTGTATGTCCTGTTTTGTGGTGCTGATTGTGTGTTTCTATGATGTTATGTGACTCCGATTGTGTTTTGTGGTTGTGATTGGAACTGTGTATTTATTTGAGGCTGTTAATAGTTGTAAGTGTTGCCCTGGCTGGGTGTTCATGCCTGTAATCCCAGCAGCTTTGTGATGCGAGGCGGGAGGATCCCTTGAGGACAGGGGTTTGAGACCAGCTTGGGCAACATAGCGACCTTGTTTCTACAAAAATAGAAAAACCACCTAGGTGTGGTGGTACCTGCCTTGTAGCCTTAGCTACTGAGGAGGCAGAAGTGAGCTATGATCAAACCACTGCACCCCAGACTGGATGACAGAGCCAGACCCTGTCTCTAAAGAAAAAAATAAAAAGTTATAAGTCTTTACGAGTATGTCTGTAGTCATGTTCTATATTAACATATAATTGTGTCTGTGTACATGTGCTTCTGAGATGATTAGTATTTGTGTAGGACAGTGTCTTCTGTGTGGTTGCAGGAGTGCTTGTGTTGTAGCTATGTGCTTTTCTTTTTTCTTTCTTTCTTTCT